TGTTGGAGACTGGGGATCTAGTTTCTCATGAGATCAAGCGTCTGAGGAAGAAGGAGAACTAGGGCACCGTAGCTCCGAGTTCTGGCGTTCCGCCTGGAGCTGCTGACATGGAGACCGAGGCTGATGCTGATAATGATGATGACTATGAGCCTTCTGGAGCAGAGCCCTCTTGGGCGAAGAAGCTCAAGAGTAAGATGAAGAAACTCTTCTGCATGGAGTCTCATGGTCAGTACATGACTCATGTGGCTGAGAAGCAGGCCAGGAGTCGTCACAAGGAGCTCATGCGTCAGTTGGGTGCGACCGTTGCCAGCGGATCTGAGGACAAGATCACTGATGAGGAGGAGTGGATTCAGCAGCACTGTCCGTGGACCGATTCAGACACCGAGCAGTTCCCGACTGAGGATGGCAGTGCAGACGATCCCGCCGGGATGTGATGATGGAGCCCCTCAGTTTGCTATCACCTGGAGCAGCGCTCTTTGCCTTTTTGGTGTCTCGATGCCAAAGGGGGAGAGAGCTTAGGGATTTGTCGTGTCGAGTTGCGAGCGTGTTGTGTTTGCGTGGCGTGTTTGCCTTGCCTGTCTTTCTCGCAAACTCTTTTCTCGTGTTTGGAGCTTGTTTGGTTTATGTTTGTGAGAACCGGTACCATTTCATATGGTGTGAGACATATGCTCCCTTTTCCTTGTATTACCTAGTTTGTCAAGTACCTTATGCTTCCTAGCTCTATATGTTCCATTACCTGTTGCTAATGTTGTCAGACTACAAAATATAGGGGGAGCATTGATCTCAATGTATGTGCTTTGCTTTACTTTGTCTCCTCTTCTTAGGTGCACACATTCAGGGGGAGATCCGTCTACATTTTGTAATTCTGGGGTTCATCTACTTTCTTGTCTTACCTTCTTGTGCAAATCCTGTGTCGTCATCAATCCACCAAAAAGGGGGAGATTGTTAAGGCATGTTTCTCTCTAAGTAGTTTTGGTGATTGATGACAACATATTTGTGGACTAATCATGTGCGTTGAGTATTTCAAAGATTCATCCTTTGGCGAGACGATTCCCTCCCCTCAGAGTTTGAAGCAAAGACGGTGTAGCCCTTTCGATTCAGTTTTGGTGGTCTTGTGTCGTAAGAGTCACCGTACTATCAAGAGGGGATCCGCATTGGTTAGGCTAGGGTGGAATCAACACGTACACATCCCCTTTGCACCCTCTAAGCTTTTCCCCTTTGTTGAAGGCTCCCTTGCGGCCTTCTCCCTGAGATCTGGTCCCAACGGTAGTACCGCGAACACCAGTGGTAGTACCGCTTGAAGCTCTCAGCCGTAGTACCGTTGCGGCTCCGTGCTCCTACTGCCTCGATTCGAGGGTTCTCCTCCCATGTTGGGTTCTGCGGCACTTGTTGCGGCAGTAGTACCGCTCATAGGCGGTAGTGCCGCCCTTATCACCACGATAGTACCGCCCTGGGTCCAGGTCATACTCTGCTTCTCGCTCTCTTCTCACTGCACGGCGGTACCGCGAGGTGGAATGATAGTACCGCTGGCCACAGCGGTAGTACCGCCCTGTGCGGGGCTGAGCGGGGGTAACGGTTGGATTGTCTCCCCCCTTATAATAGGAGGTCTTTTTCTCCAAGTTGACTTACCTCGTTTCCCCCAAGCTCCATTGTTACTCCAAAGCTCATTTTCGCCCGATCTCTCTCCCTAGCCAATCAAACTTGTTGATTGTCTAGGGATTGGTTGAGAAGGCCCAGATCTACACTTCCACCAAGAGAAATTTGATTCCCCCCACTCATCCCTTGCGGATCTTGTTACTCTTGGGTGTTTGAGCACCCTAGACGGTTGAGGTCACCTCAGAGCCATATTCCATTGTGGTGAAGCTCCATGGTTTCGTTGGGAGCCTCCAATTCGGTTGTGGAGAGAGCCCCAACCTTGTTTGTAAAGGTCCGGTCGCCGCCTCCAAGGGCACCAATAGTGGAATCACGGCATATCGCATTGTGTGAGGGCGTGCGGAGAATACGGTGGCCCTAGTGGCTTCTTGGGGAGCATTGTGCCTCCACACCGCTCCAACGGAGACGTACTTCCCTTCAAAAGGAAGGAACTTCGGTAACAGATCCTCGTCTTCACCGGCTCCACTCTTGGTTATCTCGTGCCTTTACTTGTGCAAGCTTTTGCATTGTTTCCCTTGCTTGCTTGTGTACTTATTGTTGTTGCATCATATAGGTTGCTCACCTAGTTGCATATCTAGACAACCTACTTTGATGCAAAGCTTAAATTGGTAAAGAAAAGCTAAAATTGTTAGTTGCCTATTCACCCCCCCCCCTCTAGTCAACTATATCGATCCTTTCACAAGTGAACAAAAAGTTCCAACTAGCTCAAGCTCCCGAAGAAGGTAAAGTTGACCTTGCTTTGGAATAGACAGATTTGCAATAGTACAAACGGTGCTAGGGATAGTGATCATCAAATTTCTCTTGGCATTATTAAAGTATGCAGTTCTACGGCCTACTAAAAGTCCTTATACCTCCCCCCTATGTTGGTTAGAAAAAACGTGGAATATAAAGGTCCAATGTGTG